ACCTGCTGTTATATATCTCAAACATCTCTTTTCTTGGAGACCAATAGAGGTCAATCAGGCAAAAGTCTGTCGATATCATATAGCCTCACTAAGACTGGAGGAGGGAGCCATTTTAAAAGAATAATTTTAATGTATTAACAATTTCATAATAATTTATAATTAATACTTTTATTATTTGTAACACATTATAATAATTTATAATAGATAATTATATTAATAATAACTTAATAATTATAACAATTATCAAAACTAGCATTTACATAATGCTTTATGGTTTGCAAAGCCCTTTAAAAATATTCTATCACCCAATCCTGAGAATTAGGTGCTATTATTATCTTCATTTTATAGTTGATGAAACTGAAGCAGGCAGAAGTTAAATGACTTATCTAGGTTCACACAGCTAGAAACTCTTTGTGATCATATGTGATCTCAGATCTTCCTTGCTCTATTCACTGTGCTACATAACTGCTTCATAAGATTATAAAGGAAACCAATTATATTAAAATAAGTTAGCAAAATATATATATATATTTAAATTCATGGACCCCAAGTTAATTACCATTGTTCTAAAGAAAGTGAAATCATAGAGAAAATGGGTTACTTTCACGATCAACTGGGGGAAAGAAAAAAAATTATATGGAAGGGACAAAGCTTCAGAGTACCAACATAACATGTAATCATTAACCTTCCCCTCCCCTCAATGGACAAGGTTGTACAGATTGATTACCCATTCACCATTTGCTCTCCTCCCACTCCCCAGACTGGTGAGAAATTTGAAGTTTCTGGAGCAGAGGGAGGGAAAATGTTATGGGGGGGTGGAATTAACAAATATTGTTATCATAAGGATGATATGTTATTAGGTAATGATTTAATTTAAGATTTAATCATCTGAATCATGTCTGTCTGGGAATTTATTATGTTTTCTCCATTGTTTCTATGGAATTAACTCACCCCTGAATCATAATTTTGTGTGGTTGTGACATTGTAGGTTTTTTGGTGGAACCAATTAAAGTTAGACATGATGTGCCAGTAAAAATGTAGTTCCTACTCCCATCTCCTCCCCCTTCTACTCCCCCCCACACACATATACCTTGCAATTATACATACCAACAGAAGTGTTTACCAGCAAAGGGGGCCAAAGTACCATATTTATTTTGTGTGTTTCAACACTAAAGTTAAAATAGGAAGTGGATTGAGGAGGAGTGTTTTACTGACTTTAGACATGGAGAGAAAGCATGGTATAGTGAGTGGAAAGAGTACTGACCTGGGAATCCAAAGATGAGTTAGAGTTCCAATTCTGAAACTTCTAAGCTGTGTGGCTGCAGACAAATCATTTTAACTCTTCAAAACTTGTCTGTAAAACATTTTTTCCTTATTACTAAGTAAGATTGGTGTGAGGCAAGTGCTTTATAAAGCATAAAATATTATGTAAATTGAATTATTCTTTTCCTTCTATTGATCTAAATATAAAATATCCCATTCTCAATTCTTTTAGAAGCGATCAGGTATAAACCAATAATCAATCCAACCTGAGTGATGTGACTCTGTGTGCGTGTGTGTTCGATTGTGAGACATGGGAGACACTGGTACAGGACCGCCGAGCATGGCATTCCCACATCAAAAAGGATGCTGCATTCTATGAGCAAAACAAAATTGCAGCAGCTCAAAAGACGCATGAGATATGCAAATTTAGAGACATTTCCACTCTAAATGTTCATATGGATTGTTGTACCTGACCTACAGTAGAGCTTCTAAACTCACATTGGTCTCCTCAGCCATGGCCAGACATACTGTACTTTAACCCCAACATAATGATGTCATTTTGCTCCTTTTCAAGAATGAAAGACAACAACCATAAGTATGTCCCAAAAGTCTTTGTGCAGTCAGGACACCCATAATATTTAAAGTTTATTTTTACCCAACACAATCATAAATTTAGAGTTTAAAGAGATAATATATAACAACTGAATATTATGATCTAAAAATGATACATTATTCTCAATTTCTTTGGCTCTTAAGGTAATCTAAGATAATTACAAACTTTTCTACAAATCTACATTTATATAATTTTATACTTTATTTCATTACATATGTGCATATATACCTAAACACTCATATGTATATATGTATACACACATGTCAAAAAAGCATAATACTGCATCATGTGATATGATACATACGTGTATATGTATAAAAGTGTGAATGTATACATAACAACCACAAAAGTGTGAATACATACAGATATATCTGTGTATACTATATCTGTATGTATATATATAACATATGTATAAATCTATATGTATATATGCATGTATATACATATATATGCATATATGTCTATGTATCTCTATATGCACATGCTTATTTATATGTGTAGGCATACATATAGATGCATCTATATCTATGTGTATGTATATTATATATATTTACATACAGGTATATATTGCATATTTGTACATGTATGAGGTGTACATATACATAGTATATATGTATATTGTATATATGTATGTGTGAGCCACCCTTTCTTTCTAGTTTGTTCTCAGAAACAATAGTGTCATATTCTTCTTAGTAGATTATAAATTCTATGAGGATGGGAAATATATTATTGATTCTTTCCCCAATATCAGGACAAAATTCTGCATCTAATATGTGCTTAACAAATATTTGTCAAATGAAACTGAATCCCCAAAAGACTGATTAGATGAAAGTAAAGATAACTGATAGCTGTGCATTGTGATTTATGAAGCTTCTTAGTAAAGGAGATCACATTTGATTTAATTGGTCTACCTTGATTTCAATAAATCTCCTGATCTTATTTTCAATAAAGCACCTAGTCTTCCATGAATGAAAGGTGGTATTGTTGTTTTTGTTGTTCAGGGATGTCTAAATCTTCATGACCTCATTTGGGGTTTTCTTGGCAAAGATACTGGAATAGTTGGCCATTTTCTTCTTCAGTTAACTTTACAGATAAGGAAACTGAGCAAACAGAGTTAAGTGACTTGCCCAGGGTCACACAACTGATGTCTGAGACCAGATTTGAACTCGGGAAGAAAAGTCTTCCTGACTTTAGGCCAGGCACTTTATCTGCCCAAGACACCTAGCTGCCGAGGTGGTATTAGCTGTTATCAAAACAGTCTTTCCTACCTTTTCCCTCTTAACATTTCCTTCCATTACCAGTAATTTAATATATCATTTCTAGAATATTTATTTATTATTTATCTATTTTAATGTTTCTATGTTTCTGTTCTGCTTACCTTTAATTGTTTTGTTTTAGTTTCAGTATCTGGACTATCTGTTCCCGTGAAACTCTATCTTACTTTCTAACAGGCCAAGACAAAATAATAGCGGCAGGTAGTGGTAGTATATTCTTTAAAGCAGTATTTAGCCTGGGGTTGGGGATGTTAAAATTTCTCAGTGTCTTATTTAATTCTAAAGACTGAGCTTTTTTAAAAGAGAGTGAGCTTTCTGTGTTCTTAGTAACACCAGCACCTGGAACAGCACCAGGTACACAGAAGGGGCTTAATAAATACTTGTTGACTTCCTGGCTGAATATTAAAGTATGTCAGAACCAAGATTAGAAAATGCAGCACGCAGAAAGAAATCCAAGGCAAGAGCACTCACTCTAGGAGCCAGCCGGCTACTAGCAGCTTCTCTGGCCTGAGGCCTGGATGTAATCAGATTTCCCAGGGATCTATCCAAAACAACCTCAGTTAAGATAGGAGCTCCAAGAAAAAAGATCTGAATTTGAATCAGTCTTTCATGAAATGCGGGAGGGAGGCAAAGACAAGTTAAGAAAGAAATGGTTTGTTTAAATTTATTCCTTAATTAATATTTCAACAACTCAGTTTTTCCTCACTTCCAATGGAATCTTAGCATCTAACTTGAAAACAAAAGTGTTTTCCCTTTCAGTTGGGTATTCAAAATAAAAGACGGTGGATGTTAGTACGTTCTAATAACACTGTGACATTTTAGCCAAAATGAATTTTTTTTTATTTACAGACGTTAAGGGAGGTAAGATCAATCTTCTCTTTAAATGCTGAGGTTAAAGTGCACGGTTAATACCCATGGACTAAAGGGTCTGCTCCTTTCCCACCACAGGCCTGACAGGAAAAAATTCTCTGCCAATTGCAGCTTTTAATTTTAATTTTGACTTTGGAGTTTTCCCAAGCTGACGAGAACAGGTGAAAGGGAGGCATCACGCTGGGCCCCACAAGCCTGCGGTACAACCCTCCCATATTAAACCCTCAGGAAGCGGGGTTTCCCAACCTGCTTCTCTTGGAACCTGTTGCTCTAATCTAGGACAAGGAGACCAAGCGATGGGTGCAGCTGCCAACGCAGAGATTCCCCAGTATGCAGCTGGGGGAAAGGGGTTATTTCCCCTTCAGCACAATGGGTGCCTCTGCTGCAGAAATTATTCTGCGCACCCTCTTTCCTTCTTCATGTTGTCGAAGTCTTTTCACGCCTAGAGGCACCTTCACCACTTCCCCCCCAGCTCCTCTTTCTCACCCACCGCCCCCAAACAGCCTTTCCCCAGAACCCAGAAGCCCAACGCTAGCCTGGGACCGGGGGAGGTCAGTTCCATTGGCTCTGAAAGCAAAAGGAGGGTTCAAGAAAGAACCTACAAGGGTCTAAAATGAAGGGTGGACAGGTTTCTCTCCCCACTGTGCAATAAGTTAATTGAATTGGGGTGAGCAGACAAGGTGGGTGGAGGAATACAGAAGAATGGACGGCACAAAAGCACGCGAAGTGTGTCCCCGGAGTGCAATGGACGCTTCTCCCTCCCCCTTTTCGTGAAGTGTGGTACAGTCCACAGAGAGGTGGGCGGCTCTCAAGGCGGCTGGAGCAGAGAGCCGGCAGTAGCGCGTTTGGGTCTGGTGCCACCCCTCGCCCCCTCCCTTTCCTTTCGGGCTGCTGCAGCCTTAGCGCGAGCGTGGAGGCGCTGGGGCTCGCCCGCCGCTGGAGCTCCCGAGCGAGCCCGCGCCGCGGCGGCTGCAGTGCTAGCTCCTGCTGGCTAGCAGAGGCACCTTCACCTTCCCCCAGCCGCAGCAGAAGCAGCAGCAGGATCAGTCTAGACGGTGTGGGCTCACTGGGGGCCCCTCCGAGCCCGGGGAGGCGGGTAATGGTCTGGGTGATTGCGAAGCAGCCAGCTCGGCGCCCCAAGATCCCGGGCTAGGAGGTGGAGAATCCTTTAGAGCGGAGGCGGCGGCCTCTGGGCAGTGACAGGTGCACGGTCCCAGCAGAGGGGGAAGAAAAGGAAGAGCGGTTCCCGGGCAGTGGAACCCACCTGCAGCAGCAAGAGTAACAGCGATGCCAACCATGCGGAGAACAGTATCCGAAATCCGCTCCCGGGCCGAGGGTGAGTGGCCGCCGCAGCGTGGGGACGGCCGGGTCCCCAGGGCTGGTGGTGAAGAGGAGGCTACATTGGCTGCAGATGCCTCTCAGAGCTTGCAGCAGCCTTGGTGGCAGCTGTAGAACTAGCTGGGGATGGGGCGGGGGTGGGGAGAAGGGAATGTGGGCGGAGGGGGGAGGATGTGTGTAGGGAATGGATGCTGGGGAGGGGGGATGCAGATGCCCTTTGTAAAAATCCCCTTCTTACTTCCTTTCCCCCCACTTTCTTCACCTCTCCTATCCCCACTCATCTCCTCTCCTCCGTCCCACCTCCTATCTCTCCCAATACTGTCTCCCTTCCCCACCACCTCTTTCCCCCCCTCCCCATCACCTCTTCTCCTCTACCCCTCCTTTGGGCCAGAAGAATCGACCGCACCTTCTTCTCTCCCTATCTCCTTTTTTTCTTTCGTGTTTTGCCTTTGGCCACGAACCCAATCCACTCACGGTAATCCAAGGCGTCAGCCCTAATGCTATCGCTGCAGCCTGATCATCCTACCCGTGTTCCACCCCCCACCCCCCACCCCAGCCTCCTTCCTTTCCTAGGCTCAAAGCCACACACACGCACAGTTCTCCGTAAGCGTCCCTCTCCCGGAACTAGAGAATTTGGAGGCCGCAGACCCCTTAGCCCCCAGCAACCTTTCTGCAGCTCCAGGGGAGCCGCTCTTTTGCGGCCCTGACTATCTGCAAACCTTTTTTCACCCTGAAGGAAGTGGCTGCCCATTGGCTTTGTTGTTAGAGGACCTCCGACTGTTCAATTTTGCTCTTTGTTGATGGGTTTTGTTTTACCTTTTCTTTGTAACCTAAACTTAGGCCTGCTTACCTGCCTTACTCCTTTTATAAGAAGGAAATTCCTTTCTCCTCGACCCAGGTCCAGCTGTTGAATTTTTACCATCCACACTTGTTAGCATTGAGCAACAGGATGGATGTCTATATCGCTTCTCTTTCTAGCAAAACCTAGCTTTATGTATACCTGAATTTTTCTATTCAAGATGTGACAGACTCACATTTTTATGTGTATAGTATCACAGGGAAGAATGCAGATAGAGAAATTTTTGATGCCATTAGGTTTTATTTTTTAATGTGAAGCAGATGGTGAAAGGATTGCAAAAGGTGGAGTGGTCAAAATAAATAGCAAGAAATATATAATATCACATGTATATAGCACTTTAAAGATCAATCTTCACGTAAACTTCATGGGAGTTAGTGCAATTATTGTTATCCCCATTTTACAGGTGAGGAGAATGAGACTTGGATATGTAGGTAGTAACTTGACCACTATCACACAGCTAACTAGTAAATATCAGAGTTGGGTTTCAGACCACTCTTCTAACCCTAAATCTAGGTTTCTTTTGACCCTACAAATTTGTCTCCTCTAGTAGAACTGATTGACAGTTAAGAGAAGTCAGGAGTTGGAGCTCATATTCCTAGTTCCATGTTAATTAGTCATATGTTCACTCAGATGCTTCTGCTAATAGCATTTTATTAAAATGTTGTATTTCTAAATTTACATTCTAGTTAGATTCAATATTATAGAAATTCCTCTTCTAAAGCACAGATTTTTTAAATGATGTGTTTTCCTTCCATAGTTTCGTAAACATCCTTTCTATACACTTTTTGAAGTGTGTCTCAGATTACAAAGGAGACAACCAGAATTTTTATAACATAAAATTTTACTGATCTTTTGATTTTTACATATTCATTTGATATTCATTTTTCCTCTCCCTGTAAGAGAGTCATCTCTTGTTACAATGAATAAAAAAGAAAAGTTTAGCAAAATCAATGAAAACATTGAAAAAAAAATCTGACATTACATGCAGTGTTCCATATCCATAATCCCCCACCTCTGCCAAAGAAGGTAGGAGGAGGTACTCTGTCTTATGTCTTTTTTGAAGACACTCTTGGTTGTTACAGTTTCACCATATTCAGGTTTAATCATTTTGTTATTGTTGTTTTTGCATTTACAATATAGTCATTTTATATGCTGTTTTCCTGGTTCTGCTCATTTCATTTTGCATCAGTTCATATACATTTTCCCATACTTCTCTGTACTTTTCATATTTATAATTTTTACAGTAATATGCAGTAATAGAGTAATGCAGTAGTATTCTATTATACTCATGTAACAAAACTTTGTTAGCTATTTTCCAATCGATGTACTACTTCTCTCTCCCCCTCCCAGTTCTTTGATGCTACACAAAGTGCTGCTAATAAATATTTTGGTGTATACAAGTCCTTTCTTTTTATCATTGATCTTTTTGGGCTCTGTGCCTAGCAGTTGGATCTAGGATGGGATGGGAAAATAAGTGATAAGGGTTGGAGGAGTATTGATTCCAGTAACATGAACTGCTAGGTAACTTATAGAATGGAAGAAAAGTCTGAGAATGAGACCAGAAAATGCCATGAACATAAAAGCAATGTCTGCAGGATTTGAGGAGGTAAAATTTAATTACAAGGTAATAGAGTTGAAAAGGACAATAATGATATCACTAATTCACTAATTAGTGTACTTCAATTTAGTTATGATTTATTGAGTTACTGTTGATCAGTATCAAAGTGTCAGATAAAGAACCACAAAATGTTATTGTGAACCTTTGTCAACAGTTTAATCACCAATATCTGTGAACCACACTGAATATCAAAAAACCATTTGGGATTGGAAGCATGGTCTGGGGCCAGTTAGGTAAAGTGGGTTAGATAAGTTTGTGGCTTACAGAGTGAAGTTCAAAAAATGAATGGATTAACTGACAGGAGGGTCCTGTTGTCTTTGGAAATCAATTATGAGTGTGGTTTTTCTCCATGTAGAAAAGAAGGGCAGGTGGTAAGATGTCCAGGTAAGCATTGGTTTCCTGGTGGATGGCCAGCTGAAATGAGTGAAGATGGGAATAGTTTGGAAGTCATTCCAATGGTTCAGACATGGAAGATAATGGACAGACTAAGAATAGTGACAGTGGGTATGGAGAAAAAGGGAGAGAAACATTATGAAGGAAATAAAGACAAGAAAGAACCTTAAAGATCAGCTAACTCCAGAAATGAGAAAGAAATGGGCCCACAAAGGCTAGTTGATTTGTCCAAGTTTACATAGATAGTGATAGAGTTGAATATCCTAATTGGAAAACCAGTTTTCTTTCTACTATGGTGACCTGTCACACAACGGATAGTATAATGTTATACAATCTGAGAGAGAAGTGTTTCAGAATACGAATTTACAGAACAAGATGTCAAAAGTATCACATTTCACTATACCAGTTAGAAGTTATGCAAACCACTCCATGCTTTCAAAATTTTCTGTAATATTCTTTATTAAAATATTCTTTAAGCCTTCCAGATTGATGTGTTCTGTTTTTAAATACCTTGATTCCTGGGAAATCTAGTTTTAATATTTAATGACCACAGTGTTGTATTCTTATGTTCTAATGTGCCATCAAGATAGTTTTCCTTATACAACTAAGTTACATTCCTTAAACTACATTTAAGTCCAGTTAAGTCTGTGAAATTGCCTTAGTTTTAAAAAAGATTCTGGCCATACACTAAAATAGACACAGGGTTCTAGCATTGCAAAAACTTTTGGGATAATATTATACGTGAAGTTATACATGTGCCAAAAGCAGGAAAATTCAAAAACAGGCACACACTGAATGGAGTTGTATTGTGTATCTGTTCAGTGTTATAGTGCTGAAATATAAACAACCTTTTGTGTATAAACATATTTCAAGTAGAATTGTCATGGAGCAATTATTTCCCAAATTGTTTCTGTTTCTTAGTGATAAAGAGAAGGGGAAGGGGCTGGGGAGGAAGGGAATACTTGTTTATTAAGCACTTACTATGTACCATTGCTATTCTAAGCACTTTTACAAATCATCTCATTTGATTCTTACAACAACCCTGTGAGCTAGATATTATTATGATCCTCACTTGACAATTGAGGAAACTGAGGCAGACAAAGGCTAAATGACATGCCCAGCATCACATAGGTAGTAAGTGTCTCAGGCCAAATTTGAATTCAGCTCTTTTTGTGATCTATAGCCTCACATAAAGCACATATAAAGCATGAAACAGCCTTACTGTATTTGACTGCATAATCATTATAGATATGTGGGGTTTTTTCCCCCAGTCCAAAATTTGGTTTATATCCTTTCATTGTGTAATCGTTACATGGTATAATTCTGTTCCTCATGCCACTTAAAAGGTAAACAGAGCAGCAATGTATTCACCAATGGCATATGGATACACATTTATCTCTTGCACATTGTGAGCCCTGAACCTAGAATTAGCAGGGCAAGTGCATTGTCAGTATTCAATTTTAACATATTTAACATATGTTTTATTTGTTTTTATTTATTTTATTTTTAATTATTTTATTATAAAAATAATATTTTATTATTATTAAATGTTACCATTTAACATAGCCATTTAACATATCATGAGTATTCCATGCATCCTGATCTTGCACCTAAGACAGTTTAGTAGTAAATGATTTTTAAGTAATACTGGCACATTTTTAAAAAGCTTTATATAATGGGCCCACCTCACCTTTTCACAAAATGTCATAAATTTGTGAAAGTTATGCAGTGAAATATGAGATTTCATTACCCTTTTTGTGGCCAGGTATGAAAAACAACGAGTAATCCTACACCTTCAATACTTCTGAGAGTCACGCCAATCATTTGTGGTAGTCCAGGAATAAAGTGGGTAGAATTTTGAGAATAGTGAGACTATATGTGGGGGGAAATGGTTGGCTCTGGTGGGATATGTGAAGAGGGAGGGAATTAGCATTTCTGTAGGCCCTTCAGTGTGCCAGGCACTATGCTAAGCACTTTGCAAATATATCTCCTTTGACTTTCATAGCACCCAGTGAGGTAGGTGCTGTTATTATTCCCATTTTACATTTGGGGAAACTGAGGCAAATAGGTTCAGTGACTTGCTTGATCACATACCTAGTAAGATTCTGTGGCTGGATTTGAACTTGGG